CACATTAACCATGAAAAGGCAGCAGCACCAAACACAGAACGAAAAAGAGACACGTAGAGAGTACCATCAAGCTTAGGTAACCAATAAACCTTCAAACAACTAAATCACAAAGGCAAGGAATACCAACATACCTACAGACTAACAACTTCTGTTAATTACGGACTTATTCACTCATTCAAAGACACCAGATCTTGGACAAACAGTGGATTTAACAAAGAAGATCCAACAATTGTTGCTTACATGAGACTCATCTCACCGACAGAAATAGCATTATGCTTAGGAATGAAAGGGCGAGAAAACATTTACCAAGCCAATGGCCCCCGAAAAAAGCAGGAGTAAGCAATATTAATCTCTGACAAAGTCGACTTCAAACCTACATTGAATCAAACGAGATCGAGAAGGACATATCCATACTAATAAAAGGGGAAAAATAGACCAAAAAGGAAATAATAAATCATCATCTTACGCACACAATGTCCAACTGCACCCAAATTTCAGTCATCAAACATACCCTGACAGACCTAAAAGCATTGAGAGGGGGGGGAAGCCAACACAGTGGTTGGAGACTTAACACTCCATTATCATCAATAGTAGGTCATCCAAACAAAAACTCAATAAAGAAATCCAAGATCTAAAATATGCAATAGATCAAATGGACCTAGTAGATGTCTACACGCATTTCATCCAACTCTACAAAATACATTCTCTCAGCCGCCCATGGAACCTTCTCCAAATAGATCATATCCTAGGGCACACAAAGCAAGCTCAGCAAATATAAAAATAGAATAATACATGCATACTATCTGACACAATGCAGTAAAGTAGAACTCAACAACAAAAGTAAAGACAAAAAACATGCAAACAGCTGGAAACTAATAACTCATTACTTAATGAAGAATGGATCATTGATGAATAAAAGAGGAAATTAAAAGTTCCTAAAGTCAATGAAAATGAAAACACAACCTACCGGAACCTATGGACACAGCTAAGGCAGTCTGAGAGAAAGTTTATAGCCATGAGTGCATATATTAAAAAGATTGAAAGATCCCAAATCAATGACCTAATGATACATCTCAAACCCTAGAAAAACAAGAACAAGCAAATCCCAAAACAAATAGAAGGAGAGAATAATAAAAATAAGAGCTGAAATCAACGAAATAGAAACCAAAAAAACCATACAAAGAATTAATGAAACAAAAAGTTGGTTCTTTGAAAAAATAAACAAGATCGATAGACCCCTGGCAAACCTGACTAAATGAGAGAGAAAAAACCCAAATTAGTAGAATCAGGAATGCAAAAGGAGATAACAACAAACACCATGGAAGTCCAGGAAATCATCAGAGACTACTTTGAGAACCTATATTCAAATAAATTTGAAAATCTTAAAGAAATGGCAGATTTCTAGATACATATGATCATCCAAAACTGAACCAAGAGGAAATTAATCACCTGAATAGACCTATAACACAAATGAAATTGAAGCAGCAATCAAGAGTCTCCCCAAAAGAAAAGTCCAGGACCTGATGGATTCTCTGCTGAATTCTATCAGACCTTTAAAGAAGAACTGATACCAACCCTCCTTAAACTGTTCCATGAAATAGAAGGGAAGAAAACTGCCAAACACATTTTATGAAGCCAGTATTACACTTATCCCAAAACCAGGCAAAGACACCTCCAAAAAGGAGAACTATAGGCCAATCTCCTTAATGAACATTGATGCAAAAATCCTCAAAAAATAATGGCAATCGAATTCAGCAACACATCAAAAAGATTATTCACCACGACCAAGTAGGCTTCATCCCAGGGATGCAGGGGTGGTTCAACATACGAAAATCAATAAACGTAATAAACCACATTAACAGAAGCAAAGACAAAAACCACTTGATCATCTCAATAGATGCAGAAAAAGCCTTTGATAAGATCCAACACATTTCATGATAAAAGCTCTAAGAAAACTAGGAATAGAAGGAAAGTTCCTCAACATTATAAAAGCTATATATGACAAACCTACAGCCAGCATTATACTTAATGGAGAAAAATTAAAACCATTCCCTCTAAAATCAGGAACCAGACAAGGATGCCCACTATCTCCACTCCTATTCAACATAGTACTGGAATTCCTAGCCAGAGCAATTAGGCAAGAAGAAGGAATAAAAGGAATACAAATAGGTAAAGAAACTGTCAAAATATCCCTATTTGCAGACGACATGATCCTATACCTTAAAGACCCAAAAAACTCTACTCAGAAGCTTCTAGACATCATCAATAGCTATAGCAAGGTAGCAGGATATAAAATCAACATAGAAAAATCATTAGCATTTCTATACACTAACAATGAGCAAACGGAAAAAGAATGTATTAAAACAATTCCATTTACAATAGCCTCAAAAAAAATCAAATACCTAGGTAAACCTAACAAAAGATGTGAAGACCTCTACAAGGAAAACTATACACTTCTGAAGAAAGAGATTGAGGAAGACTATAGAAAGTGGAGAGATCTCCCATGCTCATGGATTGGTAGAATCAACATAGTAAAAATGTCTATACTCCCAAAAGTAATCTACATGTTTAATGCAATTCCCATCAAAATTCCAATGACATTCATTAAAGAGATTGAAAAATCTACTGTTAAATTTATATGGAAACACAAGAGGCCACGAATAGCCAAGGCAATACTCAGTCAAAAGAACAATGCAGGAGGTATCACAATACCTGACTTCAAACTATATTACAAAGCAATAACAATAAAAACAGCATGGTACTGGCACAAAAACAGACATGAAGACCAGTGGAACAGAATAGAGGATCCAGATATGAAGCCACACAACTATGAGCAACTTATCTTTGACAAAGGCGCTAAAAATGTACAATGGAGAAAAGACAGCCTCTTCAACAAAAACTGCTGGGAAAACTGGTTAGCAGTCTGCAAAAAACTGAAACTAGATCCATGTATCACCCTATACCAAGATTAACTCAAAATGGATCAAGGGTCTTAATATCAGACCCCAAACTCTTAAGTTGATACAAGAAAGAGTAGGAAATACTCTGGAGTTAGTAGGTATAGGTAAGAACTTTCTCAATGAAACCCCAGCAGCACAGCAACTAAGAGATAGCATAGATAAATGGGACCTCATAAAACTAAAAAGCTTCTGTTCATCAAAAGAAATGGTCTCTAAACTGAAGAGAACACCCACAGAGTGGGAGAAAATATTTGCCAACTATACATCAGACAAAGGACTGATAACCAGAATATATAGGGAACTTAAAAAACTAAATTCTCCCAAACTAATGAACCAATAAAGAAATGGGCAAGTGAACTAAACAGAACTTTCTCAAAAGAAGAAATTCAAATGGCCAGAAAACACATGAAAAATGCTCACCATCTCTAGCAATAAAGGAAATGCAAATTAAAACCACACTAAGATTCCACCTCACCCCTGTTAGAATAGCCATCATCAGCAACACCACCAACAACAGGTGTTGGCGAGGATGCGGGGAAAAGGAACCCTCTTACACTGTTGGTGGGAATGTAACTAGTACAACACTCTGGAAAAAAATTTGGAGGCTACTTAAAAAGCTGACATTGATCTACCATTTGATCCAGCATACCACTCTTGGGGATATACCCAAAAGACTGTTACTCCAGAGGCACCTGCACATCCATGTTTATTGCGGCACTATTCACAATAGCCAAGTTATGGAAACAGCCAAGATGCCCAGCACTGACGAATGGATTAAGAAAATGTGGTATCTATACACAATGGAATTTTATGCAGCCATGAAGAAGAACGAAATGTTATCATTCGCTGGTAAATGGATGGATTGGAGAACATCATTCTGAGTGAGGTTAGCCTGGCCCAAAAGACCAAAAATCGTATGTTCTCCTCATATGTGGACATTAGATCAAGGGCAAACACAACAAGGGGATTGGACTTGAGCACATGATAAAAGCGAGAGCACACAAGGGAGGGGTGAGGATAGGTAAGACACCTAAAAAACTAGCTAGCATTTGTTGCCCTTAATGCAGAGAAACTAAGCAGATACCTTAAAAAAGAGGCCAATAGGAAAAGGGACAGGAACTAGAGAAAAGGTTAGATCAAAAAGAATTAACCTAGAAGGTAACACCCACGCACAGGAAATCAATGTGAGTCATGCCCTGTATAGCTATCCTTATCTCAACCAGCAAAACCCTTGTTCCTTCCTATTATTGCTTATACTCTCTCTACAACAAAATTAGAGATAAGGGCAAATAGTTTCTGCTGGGTATTGAGGGGGGAGAGGGAGGGGTGGAGTGGGTGGTAAGGAGGGGGTGGGGCAGGGGGAGAAATGAACCAAGCCTTGTATGCACATATGAATAATAAAGAAAAAAAAATAAATAAATAAAATAAAAATAAAAAAAAAAAAAAAACAAAATGAAGACCAGTGGAACAGAAAGAAGGACCAGATATAACACCCAACTACAACCAACTTCGTCTTTTGACAGCGTAAAAATATATGATGGAAAAAGCGTCTCTTCAACAAAAAACTGCTGGAAACTGGTAGCGTCTGCAAAAAACTGAAACTAGATCCATGTAATCACCCTATACCAATATTAACTCAAAATGGATCAAGATCTTAATATCAACACAAACTCTAAGTTGATGACAGGAAAGAGTAGGGAATACTCTGGAGTTATTAGGTTAGGTAAGAGCTTTCTCAATGGAACCCCAGCAGCACGCAACTAAGGATCGATAGATAAATGGGAACTTCATAAAACTAAAAAGCTTACTGCTAAACAAAAGAAATGATTCTAAACTGAAGGAAAACCCACAGAGTGGAGAAAATATTTGCCAGCTACACATCAGACAAGAGGACTGATAACCAGAAATATAGGAACTTA